GACCAGGGAGAAAGAATGCTAATGCTGATGCTCTGTCCCGGCAAGAAACCCGACCCTGGGATGCCAAGGAAGTACATGCTGTACTCACAGAAACCAACGAGATGACAACTGTTCCTGTCGAAGTACAGACGGCTCTGGTAGAACAGATGCAGAGTTATCGTGTCCCGGATGTGTGTGAGGTGGAAGTAGCTATTCCGTTACCCTCGATATCACTAGACGCTGTTGCTGACATGCAGCATCATGATGCTGTAGTTGGCAAAGTTCTCGAGTACTGGTCCCAAGGCAAGAAGCCGAGTCTACATGTGAGGAAACTGGCAGCTCCTCAGGTTCAACTGTTATTGCGGAAATGGCCGAGACTAGGTAGGTCTGATGGCATCCTTTACAGGAAAGTGCACGACCCTCTACTCGGAGAGATACGACAGATAGTCCTACCACGTAATCTTCAGTCAGATGCCCTCAGCTCGTATGCATGATCAGCATGGACACCAGGGCATAGAAAGGACTGATGCAATGCTTAGAGCACGGTACTATTGGCCGAGGATGATGACTGATATTAAGGACTGGGTAGACAACTGTGAACGTTGTGTTCTGGCGAGACATCGGAAAACTAGGACTCCTCTTGGTTCCATCATGGCATCTCGTCCACTGGAAGTCATATGTATAGACTATACACTGTACTCGAGACATCAACTGACGGGAAGCAAAACGTGCTTGTGCTCACAGATGTATTTACCAAATTGGTAGTTGCAGTACCCACTAAGGATCAGAAAGCTACTACTGTAGCTCGTGTGTTAGTAAGAGTGGTTTCATAAGTACGGTTCACCTTTGAGAATCCACTCTGACCAAGGACGAGACTTTGAGGCAAATGTTGTGCGCGAACTGTGTCAGTTATATGGAGTGCAGAGGTCTCATATGACAAGATGGGAGATATAATCCAATGGGGAACGGACAATGCGAGCGATTTAATCGCACTATGCATGATCTGTTACGTATGTTACCCCCTCACAAAAATTGTCGATGGACTGACTATCTCAGTGAACTTGTGTTTGCATACAACACTTCACCATATGGATCGATGGGATATGCACCATTTTACCTGTTATTGGGGAAAGATGCGCGCACTGTGGCAGATCTCCAGCTTACGCCAACTCTGTCATATACGGATGAAGGGGCTGTTAAAAGTCTATCTGACTGGGTGCAGGTGCACCAACGTAAGCTACGTGATGTGTATGATCATGTGACTGAGAAACTACACCAATCAGCTGAGGCCCGGAAACGGATATACGACAGGACAGCCAAGGAGGCATCTCTAGCCCTTGGAGCTCGCGTGTATCTTCAGCAACTTCTGAAAGGACGTACCAAAATCCAGGACTGTTATAGTGAGAAAGTGTACAGGGTCATTGGGCGACGCGGTGACAGCGATGTGTATGAAATAGAACCATCAGACGGGTTTGGACCTACCAAGTGGGTCAACCGTTGTCAGCTTAGGCCATGTCCTGTCTGCGCTGATCGGGAACAACATATCGGTCTACCAAGATACCAGGAACGACTTTCACCTGTAGGAATTAGGCGAACAAGTCGCCAAAATGCAGGTTCACATCGTAATTTGTATGGACTGCCTATGTCGGCTATCCATGAGTCAATGGAGACTACAGTTTAATCTGGACTTCATGTGTTATCGTTTTATTATTGTGCTATTTTATATAGGAGATGAAATTACTATATCTCTTGGGAAAACCGAACAGTTATGTAGACATTATTCTGGACATTCATTCATAGCATATTTTATGTTCACCTCTTGTTGAGCGTAACCGTTCATGTTATGTAATCGACCATTTGCGTTTGTTAGGGCATACGTTAGTATGTTAACTTTTAAGGGTTAAGACCCCCTGTACCTTATAGCGTTAGTTGATGTTCGAAGTTGGTTTTAGGTTATCGTTGAAATAAAGGGATCGAGGGTGGATGTGGCAGCACTGTGCCAAAATTCACGAGTGTTTAGATACATATTATCGGTATGGATGGCAGCACCTCTCAGTGTTTTAGTTTTGCACTCGTTCCTAATAGTCTGAAAAACGAGGCAGCGTGGTTGTGGGAATGGCACCAGCTTTTTAATTCTTGTCCGAGGGTAAATATTCATTTAATTTCACCCATTTAAGCTCTGTTAAACATTGTCAAAGATTGTGGAAACAGTGTAGTAAATTCTTGAGATTCTCTAGACAATTGGCAGCCCGGATATCCGCGCGAAGCGCGAAAAACGCAGCGTAGCGGCACACTTACACAACTTCGCTGCACCCTTTCCAACACCTTACCCGGGTCCCTTTGGGTATACGCCGAAGCCATATAATCGCTGAATTGAGCAGTTCTGCCCATTGCACGAGGGGTTTGACTACCCAGGTAGCTAGACATTTGCTAGAAATGCTCCAAATTCTTTGTTCGCTACTAGGTGTGCTTTCTTTGCTGTAAAAAAGAGATTTCAAGTTTCTTCTTTGTTTGTTTTTGTTGATCAGTCTAGTACATATGGCGTGCGATAGACGGCGCAACGAGGCTATATGCATAGTAGACTGGTACCCATTCGCCACCTTCACTCTGGCATATATCCTTCGCTACACTCACGTAGTATAGCGTGTCCAACTGTCGACCGGGTACCAGTCTATATGTACACATAGCCTCGTATCCTCGTATCCTCGACAGTTGCACACGCTTTTTCAGTGTAGCGAAGGATACTTGCCCGAGTCAAGGTGGCATGGCAAGACGCTGTTTACTCGACTACACAACAAATTGTGTTTACACATGTCTTCACTCAGGGTGATACAATTGTATCCACACCTACGAATACTTCTATTATTACAAGTACATGTTACAATAATTACTAGTAAGTACTACTACTAGTACTACTAAGTACTAGCACTAGTAGTACTAGTACTAGTTACTACCATGAGCTAATAATGACACTGTGTTACTAGTAAGTTACTAATAATGACGACTCCTGTTACTACTACTAGTACTACTACTAGTACTACTACTACTAGTTACTACTATAGTACTAGAGCTACTACTACTAGTACTAATACTATATAGTATAGTACTACTACTACTACTAGCTCCAAGAAACGCTCTTTGATAGGGTTAGAATACCCCTATACTAGACACAGGCACTTGAAGCGTTTCAATAAAATATAATTCTAACGAAATCTATTTACTACCAAATTCTTCATGCTTCTATAGGCCTACTCTCTTTCACCTATTATTGCCGCTAGTTTCCTGTAAATTTCGTCGAAATCCTACGTCCAACATACGCTGCCGGCTGCCATTGCTCTCGCGGCGCAACTGTTGCATGCTTACAGTAATATATATAGCAGGTAGGAAAGCGTGCTGCCAAAATTCGCTCGACGCTCGCTTGATTTGACACTTTCACAGCACGAATACACATCCAACAGCTTCCATCTTTGTTTCTCCTTCAAGAACAGTGTTCACTTGTTATAAAAACATGTCTCTGTTCGTAACCGATCTGTGTCACGCGAAATCACAGAAAGACTGACGAAATTCTCGCGTTAGCGAACCTTGACCAGTAATGGAAATGGCTGTCAGAATCAGGAAACACCTACCGGCGCTCGTCGTGACCTCATTCTTGCGCCGCAACGCTGCAACGTTTTTGCAACGTTCCAATGGCGAGGCTCGTACTGGAGTTGGAAAGCAGTGCGCCGCCTGCGCGCCACCTATAGCCCATAGACTGGCACTCACGCCCACCTCTCGGCTTAGCTTAGTCACTCGATGGGTAATCGAGGTGGGAGCGAGTCCCAGTCTATATAGCCTTTGTCCTTGCAGCCATTTCCATTACTGGGCAAGGTTCGCGAACGCGAGAATTTCGTCAGACTTTCTGTGATTTCGTGTGACACAGCTCGGTTACAAACAGAGACATGATTTTATAACAAGTAAACACTGTTCATGTCCCAAATGTCTGCCCTGTGTCCCCCACTAAAATTGCGGACTGTTCGCTGGTAGCTATGAATCCGTGCGCCGGCCTATGCATTCGGCGCACTGATCCATAGCTGCCAGTGCTGCATACTGTCGTAGGACGTTCCCGCGGTCGCGTGCGCCTTGCCGCGGAACTGCGCGCAAGATCTGCGCTTAGCGCTTCGGATCAACACCTCCTTTCGGCAATGCTTCTCTAGTATCCCGTCTCATCTGGATGACTTTGAACTGTGGTTAAACAGTACAGATTTAATTGTCATTGAGTAATTTTGTCCCAAACTTGTCGACCTTTATTCTTTGTACATGAGATATAAGTATACCTTGATGGCAGATTCTCATCTATGTTGGACAGTTTATTTGGTCATTGATTTTAATATCAGCGCCAGTGTGTAACTTTTAATGAAACGGGAATTCTGTGGATCATCAGCAGCCTTAAGCTGTGGGGTTTTGCTCTTTATCGGTATAATTATCTGTCCAAGAAAACTTGGAAAGTCAGCCACGAGATTGATGTTAAATTCCCCGATTGCCAATAGGTGGCGGGGCAATCATTTGAAGTTTTGCTAAGTGTAAACAAACTATACTTACTGATGAAGTATTGTCAGTAATTTTGCTGCAATTTATCTCTACTTGCTAAATTCTAGCTGTGTATGTTACCGAGCTTTTAATAGCAACAAGACTATCTGCTATATGATGTCTAACCAGAATTTATTATAAATTTCCCAAATATTATTACAATCGTATATTGCCATGTCTTAGTGCTGCTGCCAGGGTCTATGTCTCTCTGGGGCTCATAGGGTCTATGTCCCCCAGGGTACTGCCGGAACGCACCCTGGGTACGGTCCGGTATACCGGAACGTACCCTGGTCACTATTTGATATGGTTAGGGTTAGGATTAGGGTTAGGATTAGGGTTAGGGTTAGGGTTAGGATTAGGGTTAGGGTTCGGGTTAGGGAGTAGGCGTAGGCGACTCCCTAGACTCGTTAGTGGAGTAGACGAGGTACGGTTTGATACTTTTTATTCGTAATTTCTATTTTAGCTAAATATAGAGCACTTAATTAAAGCTTATATTAGCAAAATATTGAGTTATTATTGTTTATTTTTCAGGCCAGCTGTGGTACAGATAAGAAAATGCCAGTCGTACAGCTTTACCAGCCAGCCAATCCACATGCTCTGAATTTCATGCATGACTATGTTATGCGTTCAGGTGAAGCTTTTCTACGTAAATCTAAGGTACATTGTAACCCTGCTTAACATACATGTTAGCTTGCAAATTTAACTTCAACCTACCAATGCTTTTACAACATACTTGGGTGTGACAATTATTTGGCCATAAAATAAAATATCAAGGTCGATTTTAGGTCAAGGTAAATTTTTGGACAATTACATCCCTCGTTCAAATCTGGGTCGCTCCATAACCTGATCACTCTTCTCACAACACATGCAGCATTAATGTTCACTGGAAAAACTATCATTTTGCTTTTCAGCTGAAAGAAATCTCTGATGACGAGATTAATAAGATCGAAGAAAACACACGGGACCAGTCAGCCAGCAAGCTGTGGAAGGCGGAGCGCAGCAAGCGCATTACCGCGTCGAGGTTCGGATCTATAAACAAAGCAACAGCGCGCCAAAATTCAAAACTATTAGCTGCCAGCATCATCGGGCAAAGATCACTGACTACGCGATACACTAGCCATGGGATCAAATATGAATCTGTAGCGGTTAAGAATTTCGAGAAAGCATCGGGATTGCTGGTGAAGAGATGTGGATTATTTGTTGACAAGGAGTACCCTTTCTTGGCAGCTACTCCAGATGGTGTAGTAGACGATCAAATCATACTCGAAGTAAAGTGTCCATTCGTGGCCAAGAACTATATGATCAACGAAACCACAGTGCCTTATCTAAAACGCGAATGTAATGGCAAATTAACATTAAGTACATCACATGATTACTATGCTCAAGTGCAAGGCCAGTTAAGATGCTCAAAGAGAGAACAATGTTATTTTTGTGTTTTTACACTGAAAGATTTCAAAATATTTACAATTAAGCGCAATGAAAAGTTTATTGATGACATGCTGCAGAAACTAAAATTGTTTTATAATAATACATTCGAACCAGTGAACTTGAGTGCCACAAATGGACACTTTACTTCGAGTATGCTTTGATCGTCTACTACAGCTGTGCTCACATTGTATTTGTATTCTTTGTATTGATTGTAACTGTCATTCTGAGAGGCATTATTGCAGTTTTTATAGATTTCCGTTATCAGTATTGAAGCCGCGTATCTATAAACGTACATTGTAGTATTGATGACAACGTTATCAGTATTGAAGCCGCGTATCTATAAACGTACATTGTAGTATTGATGACAACGTTATTAGTATTAAAGCAGCGTATCTATAAACGTACATTGTAGTATTGATGACAACGTTATCAGTATTGAAGCAGCGTATCTATAAACGTACATTGTAGTATTGATGACAACGTTATCAGTATTATATATTATATACATCAATTATATTATAATTTATTAACATTTTATATAGTAGCGCAGTAGCCGCTAAATAAGTAAGATTCAAGGCAAGGCCTCATCTAAAATAAGTAAGATTCAGAGCAGAGTTTACTGACATACCTCATGCAGTAGTGGAATGAACTAACTGCCTTGACCACGTTATGGTCACCTACTTCCCGTACTGATATAAGCCACCGATTCAAACCTGCACGCACGCTGCTTCCTGCTACTACTACACATCGTCAAGTCAGTGAGATATGCTTGCTTATACTCTGTGCGTTATTTAGTTAAGTTTCGTAAACTTGTTGACGGTTCACAGCATTGAGTGTCACTATTGCACACGCATAGTGCTATATGTGCAGTGCTAGAGAAACTCGTAAAAATTCAGGTAGCCCGGATATGAAAAGTCGGGCCAGTGAAAGTTTTAATTAACTGGCCCGAAACAAAGTTAGGTAGCCCGACAAAATTACCTGCACCATGCGCAAGGAAAAACTGTGGTAGAGACCGTAGAGTGTTTGTAGGGAAATATGTTATAATGGTGCTTAGAACTTAGAAGTAATTTGTTTTGGTAGCAATTGAGACAATTGATAAAAACAACCTATAGAATTATTTGTGATGAAAAAGTACACTTTTTATTAACGAAGTTGTATGAAATATAAACATATAAAAAAGGAATTTTTTAACAAGATACAAACATGAAACAAAACAATTAAATAAGGAAAAGCATTCATCGCTGCATTAATTGCTAGGTGAAAAATCTACACATTTTACACATCTAACAGCAGTACTCCAGGATCAACTCGTCAACTGTTCTTTCGTCCAATTCTGAGTCTGCGCCAGAATCCTTGTCACTAGGAGACAAGCTAGTGTCACTGTCCACACTGCCTACAAGTTCTTGAAATTGAGCACCACTGCTTGTGCTGGGCTGAACATCAGGATCTTGGTCGTGTTGTGCCTGCAAGCCCATGCCCATAGTGGCACTGGCTGTAGCAGCTGCCTTGTTCTGCATTTTTTTCTTGCTCTCTTTTTGCCCTTCCCAAAACAAAGGCCTTCGTACACCCCCCTGATTCCAAAGATGTATTGCTGGCAAGGGATCAAACGTTTCGATGGGAGGTGAGTGAAGTTGAATCATTAGTAGGTTAGAGAGTGATAATTCCCCAAGACTTGACCTTATGTCCGTCTTCACTGCCTTAACCATTCGAAAGCCTCGCTCACATTCTGCACTGGCACCTGGCAGGGATAAAATTAAATCTATCAAAACCAATATTTGTTGGTACTGATCGGGATAGAGCCGATTAACGCGCTCCCAGGTGAGGGACTTCATGTTAGCTGCCTGGCTGCTATAAATCGCAGCTTTTAGAGCGCACCATTCTATTGCTGCCTCAGCAGCATCTACCCCAGCCGTCTCAAGGACTGACTGGTAGTGGCAGGTAAGCACTTTGATGCAGTCTTCACCAAAGCCTTGAATTTCTACTAGGTCTTCGGGTAGTGGCCAAACCTTAAAATTAGCCACTTTCATGGCTTCAATAATGCCTGGCATTTCAAACCTGTCATCAAGACTTGTTGTCAGCCTGATAATTAATTGCTGTTTGCTAGCATGGAACTGTGCTCCTACAACCTGTACTGCACCGTCACAAAAAATCGACTTGGCCTTGGTTAGATATGGGCCATCATGTTCTTCAAAGTGCTGTATCAGAGCTTTCGCCTCTGCTACTGACCCATGTATGACGGCAGCAGATGCATTTCTTTCCTGAAAAACAAGTGACAGTCTGCTTAGGACTGTCAACACGTCTGCCAGGTTGTGGAGGTAAAGCACTGTATCTAAATGTGTCATGAGCTGCAAGAGGCCTGCTGCTTTGCCACTTGTTGAACATGAAACACGCTCGATTGGAGTCATTGGACGGACCACCTGCTCCAAGTGTACCTTTATTGCATCATAACCAGCAAAAAAGTTTTTTAGTGCCCGGAGGAGGTGAGCTACCCATCTTGTTCCACCCACACGAGTTGGCATAAAAGGTTTTTGGCCCAGGCTAGAAAATGCTGCTTTTAAATTTGATCGGTTCAGGGCACTGTTGTGATACAGGTAATAGAGCCCCTGCAGCAAAGTGATGGCTTTCTTGTCTAAAGGTACTACTTTAATGGCATCTTTATACGCTAACTCTAGCTTGTGAGCATAGCAGTGGATTGCTATTGAACAAGGCTGCTCCTGTCGCAGCAGTGCGGCCACACCATTATTGATACCGAGCATCACTGCAGCGCCATCACTGCCCATGCCAACAATCTTCTTTCTTACATCTTCCCATTCCAAACTAGTGGCTTCAACTGACCTTTTCATGGCCCTAAATATAGTCAGAGCATCACCTTTTGGGACAATGGCACACTTGAGGAAGTGCACTGTTATTGTGCCCTTTATGCACATTCGAATGTAAAAAATTTCATTCTCCTGCACGCTTACATCAGTGGTGCCATCTGAGAGAATGGAGACAAAATTTGTCTCCAGAAGTTTATCCTTTAGGTGCTCCATTTCTACTGATGCAATGGCATCTATGAACTGGTGAGCGGCCTTATCATTTAGATAAGTACTGCCAACATCCAAGCCCTTCGCTTGATCTAATTTTGCCATCCATACAAAATCAGTGTATGGCCTCCCAGCCAGAGCCAGTGCATGAGCATTATGAAATAACTTTTCCAGTCTTGACATGGTGGCCTCGTTCATGTTCTGTATCATGAGCTCTGCTTCTGTCTTGCCTGGTGGAGCTTGCCGATTAGCAATAATCTTGGCTGCACGGCTGTGTATTTCACTAGCTTCGTGGATTTTCACCGATTCAAGTTTGCTGATTTGCAGCCCTTAATGAAAGTGTGTCATTGCTTGAAAAGCAGATGTGCACCAGGTACAATTCATCACAGGCTCTTGGTGATCTATCTTAAGCCATGTCCTGCCTTTTTTCCATGCCTCCTGCATTGTTCTTGGCTTCCTTGTTGTTCATACCTATATTATTAATACATATTATAATATATAAAGCTAGCAGCAATAATAATATACTAAACCGTGGTAAAACATAATGTTTGTCAGAAAAAATGATTGCTGGGACTTGTCTAATCTCCTTATTATCCCTATTTAGAAGTGTTGGTGCAATTTAATTACTGTAAAGTGTAAAATAATTTAGCGCTGAATATATACTATAACCCATATTTTCAGTAATATAAATTTAGATATGATATATATATATATATATATATATATATATATATATATAATATATATTATCAATATTATGACAATATACATACATGTATATACATGCATCAGAGCTTTAACAGTGTTTTAACAGCTGTTTTTAAACACTGTTTTAAATTCTTGTCTCCGAAATATTTCACATTTAGGGAGTATTTCACTGTTTGGAAACGTATATTACCCTCATTTACTCTTTAGTTTCATGCAAATAGTTACTATTGAATGAACACTAAAATTTACTTTAAACAATCTTAAAACCTAGTCAATGCTATTATACTTGATAAAAAACATTATAGTTACATTTACTCACTTTCTAGCTTTTTTACTGAGCGAACTCCCACTTGGAACCTGCTTTAAAAACGCCCAAGATCCGCTTGCCATTTTCTGTATATTTTGTCCGATTATAAATATAATTTTGAATTTGTATACAATCGCTTAGCAACATAGTATCGTCAGGATCGACGGTGTCTTGTTTTCAACCGCTAGATGGCAGTAGACGCGAGTTCTAGTTAACACGAAATGGCCGCCCCCAGCTAAACTTTAATCGACTGCCGAAACATTTTCAGCATTTGAGTTATCATACTACAGTTATTTTTTTTGGTTTTCAAATAATGTTTTATGACTTTGGCTAATGATATTTGACATTATTTTTTCCGGAGAGTAGGAAAAATCTGGAAAATTTGAATCGCCCAAGAAGAAAAAAATCGGGGCGACCTCCTATGGTTGTTTTAGCATGTTTTACTCGCCCGGTGTACTTCCAGTCGCCTGGTGCGGACCGGGCGACCGTCCATTTCGAGCACTGATGTTGCTAATTGATATGAAATTCATATGATATTCTATGTTTTAATTTTTTTTTCTTTCTTCATCGTATTATGATGTATCGACAACAACCATTGTTAAGTGTTCGGCACAACATATCTAACCAGCACACTTAATTCGATCACAAATATTATATATGTGATTAAATATTCTTTTATTTGCACAATTTTGTTTGGCCATTTATCTTTATGAATGTTTTTCTTAAGCTAGGACACTGTCTATATCATTCTGACTTTATTTATTTTCTCTCCTGTTTACGGTACATGCTAACTACGGGCCAGCGATACAGAATCGCTAGTGTGTCCTAGGCCTTTATCATCCATTTGTATAATGCAGGGCCTGGAGTTTAAATAAGCTGCTATCACTGTGCTTATTTTCTATGGCATAGTTGTTTGTGTATAAATTCGATTTTGTTTTAGGTTGACTTTATCGCATATCAACATTCGATTTATCACATATAAAACATTCGATTTTATCACATATAACATTCGATTATCAAATATAACATTCGATTATCACACATATTATTTGATTTTATATCAGAAAGAGGAATCCGAATGATTCCGATGCATTCATTCGATCCACGCATCCGAATGCATTCGTAATCACAGGCATGCGAATCATTTGATTCACGCATCGAATGATTCGTTCACGGCATCGAATAATGCATCGATCATTCGATGCGTGAATTCGAATCATTCGAGTGCGTGAATCAGAATGATTCTGATGCTGAATCGGAATGATTCGATGCGGTGAATCGAATGATGATTCGAATCATTTGATTCACGCATCGATGATGTCGATTGCATCATTCGACTGCGCCGAATCGAATGATTCGATGTCGCGAATCGAATCATTTCGATGCATCATTCGATGTATATCAGAACCATCGATATCGTTTCGCATCGAATGATGCATTCGAATCATTCGATGGCGTTGAATCAAATGATTCGATGCCATCATTCGATTCACGCATGCGATCATTCGATTCACGCATCGAATGATGCATCGAATCATTTCGATGCGTTAAGATCGAATCATTCGATGCGTGATCGAAATGATTCGATGCGTGAATCGGAATGCATTTCGATCGTGAATCGAATGATGCATCGAATCATTTCGATTTCCACGCATCGCAATGATGCATCGAATCAATTCGATTCTACGCATCGAATGAATACAATTTGAATCGAAATTATGAACACGATACACACCATATATTTACTGTTGCCATTAAGAATTTTATGTGGTTCATGGGTATTTGTAAAATCTTGTAAGGTTTTGGCCAGGCCTGTATGATCGTTTATGTGTGCATTGACGTGTGGATGTCACTCTAACCTATACTGGTGGGTATTTGTGCATTGCACAATGCGGCGTGCGGGCTATGTGTTGCAGCGGTGATTGGACGGTGTTGAAGTGAAGTTATATCAAACATTAAGACTATTGCTGGTACTGGTACTGGTAGGCTAGTAGTAGTCACTGGGACAAGTTTGTATTTATTAACCATCATTTAATTATTGAAACGCCGCCCTGTGTTGGCAGACGGAGTATTTTGAACGCCAGAACGGCATTAAATTATAGGAAGTTATCGCCAATAATGCCAAATAATAGGCGAAACCAAGAGGTAAGAGAAAACATTAAGACTTCGTTAAAGGACATTTCGTGTTTATTTACCATTGTTTTTTGTTATTGAGACTGGTTCCAAAGTGCCTGGTGCGTCACCCAGATGTATGAGAGGTGTCACGATGTAAACAAACGAAATTCGGAAGGAGCAGAAGATCGGCTCGGCCATCACGCTTCGTAATATCATTTATAGATGATAGCAGATCGTAAATAGTCTTTTAACAGACTCAGTACAAAAGTGCTAGTTCTAATACATCACGAATTTGACTGTCTTTGTATGATGGAAAATAACTGCTAATATTTAATTAGTTCGGAGATTGCTGTCCCACTGCATAAACTGCCTGAAGTGAATTTCCACTTCCGGTAACAACGCTATTGAGCGCCATCTGGTTTGTACCACGTGACTGCCCATAACCCCATTGGTGCGAGGGGGCGACAGGAATGCACTGCTCGCCACCAGAGTGCGCTGCACGTTGCCATAATCGAGACTTACCTAGAACTCTCACGTCGGTGCGTTTTCTAATCTTAGCCCTGTTAATAGATGTGGGAAGCACTTTCCACAGTAGCCACCACACTGCCCCCGCACGACACGTCCCTTCTGCAAGGCAAACAGAGAGTGAGAGGTTAGAGAGAGAGAGAGTGAGAGATAGAGAGATGGGGGAAGGGAGGGAGTGAGGGAGGGAAAGAGGGAAAGAGAGAGAGAGAGAGAGAGACAGAGCGAGAAACAAAGACAAGAACAATAATGGGAGGCTCAACTTCGTGTGCGAGATTCGTTCATGTGTTGACGTGGCGATGGAATGCGAAACTGGGGAACAGTTAGGCGTGGTTGTTTTGTTATAGTTGGGATGCATGTGCAGACATCGATGTGGGGAGGAAAGTGCAATCACAGTGCAGGGTCTACCTACACCAGTTATAGTGAGGACAGGTTAGGTCCACAGGGGTTCTTAACCTGTGATCCATAGATCCCTTTGGGGTCCATGGATGGGCTTCAGTGGGTCAGTGAACCAGGAGCGTGCAAAATTTTCTGATTATGTGCTTATGTGTATTTTTCTGAGAAGGAGTCCGTATAGCTTTCACCAGATTCTCAAAGGAGTCCATTACTCAAGAAAAGGTTAAGAACCACTAGGTTAGGACGAACGGGTGTGTGTGTGTGGGGGGGGGGGTCCTATGTTACTTAGAGTGGAGACAGGTTAGGATGAGGCGGGTGTGTGTGGTGGAGGGTACGGGTCGTAGGTTAGGTTAGGTAGGGTAGGGTAGTAGGTAGGAGTAGGCGGTCGGNCCCTCGCCCCTCGCCTCCCCCCTCGCCCACCGCCCCCTTCCCCTCGCCCTCGCCTCCCCCCCTGCCACCACCCCCTTCCCTGCCCTGCCTCTTCCCCTGCCACCACCCCCCTTCCCTGCCCTGCCTCTTCCCCTGCCACCACCCCCTTCCCTGGCCTGCTCCCCGGCACTCACTGATGACGGTGAACGTGGTGATGTTGAAGCGTATCTTGCGGAACGTGCTGAGGCCGCCGTGCGGGTTCAGCTCCTTGGCGCAGTTGCAGCCGACGTAGCGCGTGCCGTTGTAGGGGCAGGTGAGCGGGTGGTTGAGCCGCTTCTGGTAGATCTCAGAGTAGTTCTCCGAGTCACCAGCAGGTAGCGTGATGTACTCCTTTGGGTCGCTAGAGTCCATGTTGTGGCAGTACACCTGAAGCCGAAGCAACAAGCATGAAGAAAGCCATGACGATAGAGGAAGCCATGATGATAGAGGAGGCCATGATGATAGAGGAGGCCATGATGATAGAGGAGGCCATGATGATAGAGGAAGCCATAATGATAGAGGAAGCCATGATGATAGAGGAAGCCATAATGATAGAGGAAGCCATAATGATAGAGGAGGCCATGATGATAGAGGAAGCCATGATGATAGAGGAAGCCATAATGATAGAGGAGGTCATAACGATAGAGGAAGCCATGATGATAGAGGAGACAATAATGATAGAGGAAGCCATGATGATAGAAGAGGTCATGACGATAGAGGAGGCCATGTTGATGGAGGACGCCATGAGAATAAAGTAAGTAATGAGAAGAAAGGAAGCCACAAGAATAAAAGAAGCCATTGAAATAAAGGATGTCATGTGGATAAAGGAAGTCATGGGGATAGAGGAAGTCATAGGGATAAAGGGAGCCACAAGAATGAGGGAGGCTATAATGAGGATGGAATTTATGACATACATGAATGCTAAACAGTGTACTGACGATAAAGGGTCAACTAACGTTAGCAGTTCAGCCACCCGATAGATTCAATGCATCACACAATAAGCTAGGCGAATCTACAATGGTTGATGTCCTTGGATATGCACACCTCCTAGAGCCAGCACAAAGTCTTTATTTGACACGCCAGGATAGAGATTGCATCATCGAGCCACGGCTGAGACATACCTTAATAAAGCCGCCATTGACATAGATGTTGTAGTCGTCATCACGCGTTACCTCGGATACCTTCTTCAGCTCTGCACAGCTAGAAGCATAGCCTGGCGACGAAAGAAACACTGTCGTCATGACAACGTGCATCCAGGCAGCAGACGCATCCATGTGACTACCGCATCGTTATCGTGTTAACGCCACGTGTGGTATACTTAGATCAACAGGAATGCACGCACATACATGCGTTTCACACACGCGCACACGCAGACCCATGCACATGAGCACGCACACACTCACACCCCCACACACGCACGCACGCATGTACGCACCCACTCACATCAATATGAAACCAACATGCAGGCACGCACGCACGCACGCACGCACACACTCACACCCACACACACACGCACGCACGCATGTACGCATCCACTCACACCAATGTAAAACCACATGAGCACGCACACACACACACACTCACACCCACACACACACGCACGCACGCATGTACGCACCCACTCACACCAATGTGAAACCACATGAGCACGCACACACTCACACCCGCACACACACACAACAACACACACACACACACACACACACACACACACACACACACGCATGTACGCACCCACTCACACCAGTGTGAAACCACATGCACGCACGCACGCAAGCACACACTCACACCCACACACACGCACGCACGCATGTACGCACTCACTCACACCAGTGTAAAACCACATGGACGCACGCACGCACGCATGTACAACCCCACTCATACCAATGTGAAACCACACGCATGTACGCACCCACTCATACTAATATGAGCCCACATGCACGCACGCACGCACGCATGTACGCATCCACTCACACCAATGTAAACCCACATGCACGCACGCACGCACGCACGCACGCCCACATGTACAAAACCACTCATACCAATGTGAACCCACATGCACGCACGTACGCAGACGTGCACGCACGCACGCCCACGCGCACACTCACAGGGGTTCTGGTTGCACTCTTCCCTATAGAGCGGCCGCAGCTTCCGATCGCACTGACTCTCGTCTACAGGCGCCCCCTGGTGGTCAGTGCAGGTGATGTCACGGAGCTTGACCCCAGTTCCACAGGTCACTGAGCACTGCAATGAGAAATAACTCATCACTAGATACGTGTCTCACTATGCCAGACACACAGATGCAAACATGCACACACATATTATGCTTAAGCACATGCATACACTTGCACGCACGCAGGCACGCATGCATGCACGCACGCACACAATATATATATATATATATATATATATATATCATCTATATCATATATATCATCNTGCCAGGTTAGCAGGGATGCTGGCATAGAAAGATGCTAGGTTAGTAGGGATGCTGGCATAGAAAGATGCTAGGTTAGTAGGGATGCTGGCATAGGAAGATGCTAGGTTAGTAGGGATGCTGGCATAGGAAGCTGCTAGGTTAGTAGGGATGCTGGCATAGAAAGATGCTAGGTTAGTAGGGATGCTGGCATAGGAAGATGCTAGGTTAGTAGGGATGCTGGCATAAGAAGATGCTAGGTTAGTATGGATGCTGGCATAGGNAGATGACGGTTAGCCACGAATGCTGGGGTGCGACACAGTGAGCGTGGAATCACAGGAATGAAGAAATCACAGAAATCACAGGAATGCAGAGATGACCAGGATGTCAGAATAGCGGGGATGTTGGAATAGCAAGGAAGCTGGGATCCTGAGATAATATAGGGAATTTGTGGGGTCACGGGGATAACCGGAAGGTTGGAATCACGCGGGGTAAAGGAGGTAACAGGGAAGCTGAGAACATATGGTGGATGACTGGGTAAGTCGGAAGGTAGTGATCACAGGGATGCAGGAATGGTCAGCCGGATCCTGGCACAAGCAAGATGCCAGGTTAGTAGGGATGCTGGCATAGGAAGATGCCAGGTTAGTAAGGATGCTGGCACAGGAAGATGCCAGGTTAGTAGGGATGCTGTCATAAGAAGATAGATGCTAGGTTAGCAGGGATGCTGGCATAAGAAGCTGCTAGGCTAGTAGGGATGCTGGCATAGGAAGATGTTAGGTTAGTTGGGATGCTGGCATAGGAAGCTGCTAGGTTAGCAGGGATGCTGGCACAGGAAGATGCTAGGTTAGTAGGGATGCTGGCATAGGAAGATGCTAGGTTAGTAGGGATGCTGGCATAGGAAGATGCTAGGTTAGTAGGGATGCTGTCATAAGAAGATAGATGCTAGGTTAGCAGGGATGCTGGCACAGGAAGATGCTAGGTTAGTAGTGATGCTGACATAGGAAGATGCTAGGATAGCAGGGATGCTGGCATAGGAAGCTGCTAGGTTAGTAGGGATGCTGACAACACCTTCGTTCATAGGCACCGTGTCTAATGTTGTCGTCACCGCCATCGTCATCGTCATCCACATCCTCATAATTATCCTCATGCTGATCTATATACTCCTACTTATCGTCATTATCATCGTCATCGTTATCGTCATCGTCATCCTCATCGTCATCGTCATCCTCATCCTCATCATCATCCTCATCCTGATCCATATACCTAAACTCATCGTCATTGTCATCGTCATCGTCGTCGTCATCGTCACCGTCAGCGCCGTCACTAGCGCCATCAACGCTGTCGCATCTACCATCGTCGTCATCGTCCGTCAAACGTGTGCTGGATGCTTTAGCGTTTTCACTATTTATAGCGCCATCTCTGAGTGCAGCCCCATTTCTACCTCCCGACCCTCTCTGTTCTGCCCCTTTTGCTCCCACTCTCCCCGTCTATCGCTTTATCCCCTGCCCTCAATCTCTCTGTCATGTGCACACACACACTCTCTCTTTTGCCTCCCCCTTCTCTCCCTCTCGCCCTCTTGCCCTATTCCCCATCCCATTTGCCTTCACCTAGATTTACTCGACGATATTGGCGTTTCTGCACGCTCTATTTCACCTTAGCCATCATTTCAGTTGTGCGAGGGTCTGGGTGTGCGTGGTAGCAGGGGAAAGGTCATGCGCGTGCCCGTGCTCGCGTATGAGTGGGGAATTGCGTGCGTGTGTGTGTGTGTGTACGTGTGTTTGTGTGGTGTGTGTGTGTGTGTGTGTGTGTGGTGTGTGTGTGTGTGTGTGCGTGTGTGTGTGTGTGTGTGTGTGTGTGTGTGTGTGTGTGTGTGTGTGTGTATTGCGCACTCTATTATAGCGTTTTAGTCTCTCTACATTTTCAACGCCTGTTCGATTCGCTTTCAGAGCCACGGATTCAGCAGCGGTGACCGCCTACACGCGTAGGTGGCTCAGCGTGCAGGGCCAGTGCGTGATGACCACACCGCACCCACCCTACGCACGCACACGCTCTCAATCGGTGGCTGTACAACGGCAACCGCTGGCCGCTATCGCAGCAGCGTCCGTGGCCGCAATTTGACCCACGGTCAGCTGCGTGACCACGTGCACACGCCGCGGACATAATGGCGGCGATTTCACGTCGACGTGGGAAACGGCGCGGCGACCAGCGTCCAGGGGGTGGAGGGAGGGGCGATCGGGGCAAAAGGCGGGGGGTGGTGGCGGGGGAGGGGAATTTTATTTCCCTTACGGGAGATATTGAATGTTTCAGTGAAGCTGCGCTGGGTGGGTAGCGCTTTCACATACCCACGCACCTAGTTGTGTGTGGACGCGCGCAGCGCCGCGCGTGTTGTGTGTGTGTGTGTGTGTGTGTCGTGTGTGTGTGAGTGTCGTTTGTGTGTGTGTGTGTGTGTGTGCGCGTGCGTGGGCGTGCGTGCGTGCGTAGTGCGTGCGTGCGGTGCGGTAGCCGTGCGTGCGTGCGTGCGGAGTGGCGTGTGTGCCGTGTGTGTGTGTGTGTGTGCGTACATGTGTGCGTGCGTGCGTGTGTCGTGTTCGTACATGCGTGCGAGTGCGCCAAGTGGCGTGCATACTGCGCGTGCGTGCGTGCGTGGCGCGTGCGTGCGTGGCGGTGCGTGCATCGCGGTGCGTGCGTACGTGAATGGGGGAGATGAACCGATGTAAAGCTCTGACTTCAATTGCCTGCCTGCTGCCTGCTGCAATGTGTTGTGCGCGCCCCAGCGCGCTGGCTACACCTGCTACACGCTGCTGGCGACAGGCAGCTCGTTAGCAGTAGCACACACTTTACACACGGCGCGCGAGGGGCGAGCGTGAAGCCAGCCAGCGATAGATCCATCCTTCACTGCATCCTCCTCCTCCTGCCAAGCATCTCGGCTATATTCCCCATGGGCATCGCTTGACGTGTAAGTGCGCGAGTTTACCGTGCATCAATCTCCATCTGCGTGTGCGAGCGTGCATGCGTGCGTGAACGTGTGTGTGTTTATGTGCGTGTGTGCGTGTGTGTGTGTGTGTGTGTGTGTGTGTGTGTGTGTGTGTGTGTGTGTGTGTGTGTGTGTGTGTGTGTGTGTGTGTGTGTGTGTGTGTGTGTGTGTGTGTGTGCGTGCGCGCGTGTTGTGTGTGCGTGCGTATATTTAATTCCCCCCCCCCAGTCACAGATATGGTCGCTATCTAGCTAATGTTATCATCAGAGGCGCAGCATTTCACTCGGCCATTGCGTCTACTCGCCGATACCCCTTCCGCTGACCAAATTGACCATTAAAGCCGTCAATTAGAACTGACAACTCGCCCGCTGCCGCCACCACCGGCTTGGCTAACACTTTCCCACACGTCTGGCGGCTGCGCTCCTGGTCTTGCGCTCCGGGCGCCTTCCCCAGTCTGCCCAAAATAGTCTCCCAAGTAGCTCTTCATATTAGCTCGGGGGATGTATCACAGCTGTGTCCGCAACGACTTGACCCATATCGCCGGTCGCCTGGGCATCGGTGCCGATCGCCTACTCGGCGCCCCCGCAGGGCGAGAAGCCGCCGCTCAGAGCGGGGCCGCGCGAGCTGTGCTAACAAACATTTTGTCACCGATGGCCACGTTCTGCCCCCTCTCACCCTCTCACCCTCTCACCCTCTCACCCTCTCACCCTCTCACCCTCTCACCCTCTCACCCTCTCACCCTCTCACCCTCTCACCCTCTTACCCTCTCACCCTCTCTTTCTCTTACCCTCTCACCCTATCTCTCTCTTGCTCTTTTCTCTCTGGCGCTCTATCCCTCTTTCTCTCTCGCGCGCGCTCTCTCTCTCTCTTTCTCTCTCTCTGGCGCTCTTTCCCTCTTTCTCTCTTGTCTCCCCTCTCTTTTCTCTCTCTCTCTCTCTCTTTCT